TCTCTTTTGCCCAGGCTGGAGTGCAGTGGTGCCCTGACAGCTCACAGTAGCCCTAACCTCCTAGATTCAAGTGATTCTGATGCCTTGACCTCCCAAAGTGCTGGGACCACAGGCGTGAGCCACAATGCTTGCCTGGGCCTCTTTTTCTCTCCTCCAGACACGTAAGGTCCGCCTGGGCCTGCTCTCCCCTTCCTCATAGGAATTCCTCAGGAACAAGGTGACTGAGATTACACACAGCAGTGTGGGCAGGATGTTCTCAAATGATTTCTTCCTAGCAATGAAAGGCCAGAGCCTTCCAGACTGTTGAATATGACAGACAATCTGTTTTCATTTCTAAATGTCCTCTAAGAAGAACAAATCTGTTATACTCTGGCCAACATATTTCCATGGAAATAAAATAATGAAATCTGACCCAAACGTCAAACCCTGATATGTCTTGGAATTTAACAAAGGATGGAGCAGATGCAGTGGAGGGAAGAACACGCAGGAAGCTTTCTTCCGGCAGCTCACCCCAGAAGCTGCCTTCCTGCATTTCATGGAGATGGTAGACACCAGTGCCCTCCATGTGCACAGGGTTCACACCGGAAAAATCATCCAGGCCAGAAAGAGGCCGCTCACAGCCGGCATGCAACATTCCCCATCCACTGGCCTTCAAACCTGCTGAAGCGGACATTTCAGAAAGGAAATAGAGCAGAGCCAAATTCCCCAGCCATGTGAAAACGCAGAGGCAGAGGCTCCAGCCCTAGAGGACCCTAACCCTGGCTGCTGTCTGGCTGCTGCTGCTGGCCTGCCACCGCACGACTCTCAGCTTCTGGACCGGGCTTCCTCAGGCTGCAGGCTGCTCCCCAGACTGGGCTGACCCCCTTCCCAGCAAAGCCCAGGAAGTTCCAGCAAGTTCTCGTTGTCTGCCTACTAGACCTGAGTTTGAGTCACGTTTGAGGGTTCCTTGTGCGCGGGGAATGGGACGGCGGGGCGGGGGCGTTCTAATGTCTGTGCTTTCAAGTAGGAAAGATAATAATGAAATAGCTAACATTTAGCCTATAGTCCCAGCTACTCAGGAGGCTGAGGTTTGAGGAGCACTTGGGCCCAGGAGTTCAAGCTGCAGTGAGCTTTGATCATGCCACTGCCCAGTAGCCCTGGTGACAAAGAGAGATCCTGTCTCTAATAAAAAAAAAAAAAGAAAAGAAAGAGCTAACATTTACAGATAACTTACTAAGCGTCAGGCACTTCATGTACATTGAAAACATTTAATTCACTTGAGACAGGTACTCTTACCAGCATTTTACTAATGAGGAAACTGAGGCTGATTTCTCCTTTAACAACAAACAGGCTGGGTGTAGTGGCTCATGCCCGTAATCCCAGCATTTTGGGAGACTGAGATGGGAGCACTGTGTGAGGCTGGGAGTTTGAGACCAGCCTGGGCAACATAGTGAGACCCCCATCGCTACAAAAATATTAAAAAATTAGCCAGGTGTGGTGGCACATGCCAGTGGTGCCAGCTATTCAGGAGGCCGTGGTGTGAGGTTCTCTTGAGCCTAGGAGTTTAAGGCTGCAGTGAACCATGATTGCACCACCGCACTCCAGCCTGGGCAACAGGGTAAGACTCCGTCTCAAAAAAACCAAAAGCAAAACCTTCGCAGGTAAACACTGGAGTGGGTGTGGCTCTTTGAGCTCGGAACGCTTTCTATTATTATCATCTGATAAGGCCTGGTAAGAATACATTCCTTCTTGGAATGTGTCTTCTGTGGAAATGAGACACAAAAGGATGGAGATGTCAGCTTCCAAGAGCGCTGAAGGCCGAATTCTGAAAGCAAATGTCACAGCATTCATGATGCTCAGACAGACCAGCAGCCGAGGTGGCAGCTGCTCCCTCCCTCCTCTTCCTTTCCCCGCAGGCCTGAGAGTTGGGAAGCGCACCCTTCCCCTGAGAGGCTTTCTCAGCGGCTGCGGCCTGGGAGAGTGCTGTGGTTTGGGCTGTTTTAGTCTCCAAGGGGATGGGTGATTTATGTCCTTTTATTCAGCAAACAGCTTTGTACAGAACGAACGCCACTTGCTAAATGTCACCAGGCGGGGACAGGGGAGCCGCACAGAATCCCAATGAAGCCTTCCAGGCCTGGGCAAAATGGCACCTGGTGACTTGGTTACTGTGTGCGTTTTCTCTGGCGGGAGTAAGGAAGAGACAGTGATTCTGAAATCCAGACTAGCTGGCCAGAGTGGCAGGGGAATGCAGAGACTCCAGCGCCCACCTCCGCTGCCAGTGCCTGCCACTTCCTGCTTCTCCATCTTCTCCCTGCCCTTTGCAGGACAGAAGCGAGGCGGTCGGTGACCTATGGACTTTGGGGAAGGGCTCCTTTCTGTGGCACTGAGTCAGCATGCCAGGGCCTCTGGGCCCAGGCCTGCATGGCGACACAGTCAAGCATGAGGGATTGCGGCTTTCATCAGGGCACATCGGGGCTCAGCTCTGCACTCAACCCGGCCCAAGCCAGGGTTCTGGCTGGAGGCCCCTTGGTCTTCTCACTCTCTTTTCATGCTCCTCCTCCTCACCTCTCCCCATCCACACCTAGGTCTGTAAGTTCCCTGAGACTGAGCCATGCTTCTTCACACACACACACACACGGGTGCCCAGCGTGGCCCCATTCTCAACACACAATAAATAAGTGCTTGATGTTTGTTGAATAATAAACGGCCAACTCATTCCCCCATGAGCCCTGGCACCCCAGCACTGCCCTGGGGCCTGCGGGCTGCTCTGGCAGGATGACAAAGCATGCCCCAGTGTTTAAGGCAGTGCTACCAAGGCACTAAGAGATGGGAAAGGTGGTAGAGTCTCAGGACTTGGAGAAACCTTTGCAATCACATTGCCCAATCCTCTCATTTTACAGATGAGGACACTGAGGCCCAGAGAGGTGACCTGTCAAAGCCACACAGCACAGAGGAGCAGAGCCTGGGTCCAGCTATTCCTCCGATCTCACCACCCTGCCTCTTCTCACTGGAAGAGTGTACCAAGGCGGGAGTCTGGCCCCTACCCATCCCGAGGCTGATCCCTGCCTAAGGGGGTTAGCCCAGCCCCCAGCCAGGCTCCTCTCCTCAGCACAGGCTGCAGCCACTGCTCCCGGCCTCCAGCCCACAGCCCATACACCCAGTCTTCCAGGGAGGACGGCAATTAGTTTTCACTGTGCCACTCAGCACCACCTTGGCTGCAGGAAAACACTGCGTTCCGCGCACTCCAGATCAATGTGGGCCTCACAGGTTAGAATTTAGGGTGCAGGCCACATGGAGACTGGGAAAGACAGAAGGAAACGGACAACAGTCAGGGCCTGTGGGTGAAGCAGAGTCACTCCTGCCCCCAGAGCAGAGACACACAGGAGGGGTTCCTGGGGCGACGGGGCCAGCACCTCACCCTGGCTTGGGGAGGAAGGGACTGGGACAACAGCGCATGAAAGCCAGAGAGCTGAGCCGACCAGGGGACACAGAAAAGGAAGGGTGTGAGGAAATGCCGTCTTTCCCTGTAACCTAGGTGTATCCTGGATCCCAGTATCACCTCCATGGGCCCCCACAGCAGTGCTGGGGAGGGGAAGGGAAGCCTGAGGGAGAAGAGAAAGGAGGTGAGAGGGAGACACTGCCTAGCATTGGCTCTCTCTCCTCTTTGAGGCCCGCAGAGGGTCTCCACCAGCAGCTCCAGGAGGGATGATAAATTGTCAAAAGCCACCAAGAGTCGGGGCAGGAGCTCAGTTCTGCCCAGCTGAGGGCCATGCAGGGATTTCAAGGTCCCTGAGCGGATCCCAGCCGTCACTCATTGAACTCAGTCAGATCACCACCACATCAGTGGATTTAGAAGCGTGACAGGGATTTCAGAGGGCAATGGGTCCAGCCCTTACAACCCAGCACCTCTCTGCAGGCAAGGAAACGCAGGCCCAGAGGACAGGGGCTTCTCCACGTGGGCACACGGCACCAAGGCAGCTCCATCAATAGAAGCTAAATCTCCGAACTCCCACTCCAGGGGTGCTGACCACTGGGTGGGTGACTCCCTCAGCGTCCAAACCCTCTCTGGCAGGCCCTTGCTGCTCCAGGGGCCAGTACGAAAGGGAGAGCTCCTCCCAGGGCCTCCGGGGGGACACTTCTGCTGACCGTCCCCAAGGAGAAAGAGGAGAGATAAATGGGGGAGGGTCCCTGAAGAATGATGACCTTCAAGAAGGAGGCCAACCTAGGGGACTAGTGGAAGCCAGAAAGAGCAGGGGGGCATGGCAGGGGCTGGAGCCGATGTCCCAGGGAAGGAGTAGCTGCAAGGCCCTGCCCCTCAGCCTCAGAGGAGCGCCAGCCCTGCCCTGCCATTCTGGACAAGGTGTGAGTGTGAAGACACTCTTGCCTGTCCACACTATCCAGGCTGAGCGGGGGCAAAGGCAGCCCCCTTGGGGTCCCTACCCTGCGACTGGACTTTAAAACCATTTATTTTGGTTTTAAACGAACAGTTTTTCTTTGGTCATGATTTTGTCGGTTGACTTATCTTTATGGAATTGTAGTATTTTCTTGCTCTAAAACTCTCAGTCTAACCCCTTCTTCTTTCTGCCTCACATTTTTGCCTCCAGCGATATGGGAATGAACCTTGGAGAATGGGTGGGTCCTGGGGGAGGGGGGCCGAGGGGCTCTTCACCAGGCAGAGATGAACCCCAGTGCTGACACGGGCCCCCTCCTTTTCCTGGTTTCTCCTGCCCTGGAGGGTGGCACACACAAAGGGCTTTTTGTCTCTTTGGACCATTTCTGTATCCCTGGTGCCTCAAATGGAGCCGGGCCTGGAGCGAACTCCATCAGTGACTCTGACGGCAGACAGGGCTCTGGCCCACTGGGGCGACGGGCTAAAGAGGGGATTCTGGTTCCTGTGGACAATCTGGAAGCTGGAAGCTGTTAGAACCGGAGCGAGGATTTCACCAGGGAGCTCACGGAGAGAGCCCGGGCAGGTGGGGTGTGGGAAGGAGTTGGGGGAGCCCGGAGCGTGGGGTACTCACTCCAGCACATCGCGGTTGAACTGCTTCTTGCTGTTGCCCAGGAACTCTCCAATCATCTGGCGGCTGAGGCCCTTTCGCTGGAGGAGGAAATGGGCCACACCAATGGGGGTGTCAGGGATGAAGCCGCGGGAGATCAGGAACTGGATGCCCTTGTCCGGGTTTCTGGAGGTGGGGAGAGTGGGGAGAAGCAGTAGAGAGTGAGCTGAAGCCATCCATGACTCTTTCCTCCCTGTCTTCCACCCATGGAAGTGCCCAGAGGTTCCTTGGAAATCCAGTTTCTCATTGCAAGCACCTCTCACCACAGCTTCCACCCACTGAATGTCCTCACGCAGAGGATGGTGTGTGACCAGGAGGAGGACAAGGGAGGTCTGCAAACAAAGTGAATTCCAGAGCAGGTGGAGGAGAAGGACCCTTCTCTGTCCCTGCCTCCTGGGTCTTACCCCAGGCCTGTCCTTCCCCCTACCCATATCCTGTTGTCAATATGCAGGTCCCCACCACAGATGCCCCAACCTGGAGAGAAGGTGGGAGAAACAGAGGTGGGACCTCCGCCACACCCCTCTTTCCTTTGCAAGCTTTGAAGCCATGCTCCTCCCTAAGCTGTTTCTCACAGGTCCAGGAGGAGGTAAGTGCAGAAACACAAGGTAAGCACTCAGAACCTTCCATAGCATTTCAACATTTCCGGGACAAGCAAGCATGTGACTGTTTTTCTAGCAACTCATTTTTATTGTATTTTACAAAAATATTAGCCCACAATGTATTTTCAGAAGGGTGTGGGGGAACAAAACTGGTCCTTCGCTATGGATAGTTTAAGAATTACTGCCTTGGGGGAGACGAGTATCTGTGTGAGTTTTCATGTGTGTGAAGAAGTGACACTGTGGAAGTGGGGGTGGTTTAGCATCAGATCCGCCTTCCCCTAGGTCTGCCGAGTACTAGCTCTTTCATCGTGGGCAACTCGCCGTACTGGTGTGAGCCAGCTTCCTTTTCTGTAAAACAGCACGGTAGCACCTCTGTGTAGATACTGCTGGGAGGATTATAGATGCTTTATGTAAGGTGAGCTATGAACAGTGGCTACTTCCTCTAGAATAGAGACCTCTTGAGGCCAGCGGATGTGTCCTACTCCCCTCTGTGGTCACAGTGCCTGGCACCCGATAAATAACAGCCAAATGAATGGATGAACATGCATTAGGGCCAGAGAGAGACGCTCTTGGCTTGGGGTTATGAAGGGGCGAGTGGAGGATGGAGGCGAGTGCCTCATGGACTTGACTTTCCATGGGAGGGGCAGGTGTGCTCCCTTTCCTCTGCTTGGCACTGGCTGTATACATTCCGTGCAGGACCAGTCCGGGTCTCACTGGGGTCTCTGAGCTATGGCAGTCGGTCATTTCTCCCCTGTTCTCTTTCTACGCTGCCTCTGCCCGCTTCACACTCTCTCTTCCTGGTAGCCCTCCCCTCTCCTGCTCTCTGCCGCATTCCTTACAAGGCGCCTCTCCTCCCTCCCCCACCCAGCCCCGCATTTCATCAACGCTGGGAGCTAATGCGTTTTCCCTGGCTTCATATTCCACCCGAATGATTGCTGCTTAATCCTCAAGCCGCCTGGACTGTTATTTACTTAATACTGTCTTTTCTTTTACATTCTCTTACTTTTCAAACCCTAGCTTCATCTTAAACTGTAACAGTTGTGAAAGCATGTGTTTGATGTGTTATTTTTTTCCTCTAATCTCTCTTAAAATAAACTCAGAATGATTAAAAATAAAATGCGTACTTCCTAAACATGACCCCAGGGATCAGGCAAGGCACAGATGCGCCTGGAGGGCCCTGGGATGACGTGGGCAGTCACCTGGTGCCCTGCTTGGTGGAGGGGAGGTGTCCCTCCTCCTTCCCTCCCTCCCAGCACCCCGGGCTGGGGGCCAGGGCGGACTTACATGTTGAACAGGTTGAGGCCGATGCGGTAGAGTCGCTTGCGCAGGGTGTCGGTGGAGAGCGTGGGCGACTTGCAGCTGGCGGGGTTCTCGCAGTGGTAGCGCGGCAGGCTCAGGATCATGGCCTGCAGGGCGTCCTTGGAGGCGGAGGCCGACACCTCCGAGCCTGACTTGGCGGACTTGGTGGACGTGCTGCTGCTGCTCAGCTGCTCCAAGTCGCCTGCCTCAGCCTCGGCCCCTTTCCCCACGTCTGCCGCCTCCTCCTCCTCCTCCTCCTCCTCCTCCTCCTCTGCTTTGGCTGCTGTGGCTTCATCCACCGCCCCCCCAGCCCCAGCCTCGGTGCATGAGTCCTCCGCGGACGCGTCCCCCCGGCCCACTGCGGGGGCTTCCGCGGCCTCCTGTCCGGGGGTCCCGCCCTGCTCGGCCTTGCCCGCCGCGGGCTCCGCTGTGGCCTGGGCCGTCTGGGCGCCCCGGCAGTTGGCCACGGACAGAGCCGTGGCGGAGGACACGGAGATGTTCTGGTTGGCGATCTGCACCGTGACGTCCCGGAAAGCCATCATGAGGGTGCCGCTGTGGCCCGGGGGCAGCCCGGGGGTCTCCGCGGCCTCATCCCCGGGCCCGGGGCCTGCGCTCTCCGGCTCCCGCGTCTCGCCCTCCAGGCCGGGGGGCCCCGCGGCCGCCTGCAGGGCCTGGTGGAGCTGGTAGGCGCCGGTCTCCTGCAGGGAGCACATGGTCTTGAGGCTCCAAGTGCTGAGCGCGTCGTCGATGGACTTGGCCAGGGACTGCACCTGCTCGGTGAAGGAGTCCTCCAGCTCGGTGAGGGTGCCCGCGAAGGTGGGCGGCAGGGAGGGCGCGCGCACCAGCGGCAGCCCCATGAGGCCGTAGCCCTCCATGAGCGCTTTCTCGGCCGCAAGGCTCTCGGCCGTGGGTGCGCGCACCTTGCGCAGGGAGATCCGCCGTGGCAGGCGGCTCTCCAGAAGCGAGTTGCGGATTTTCTCAAAGTTCTTGCTGAGCTGGTATTGGCGGAAGGCGGTTTGGATGGTGCAAGCGGCGCGCCGGGACACCAGGTGACCCCCGTACTTATGTTCTAGCATTTCAATCTGCAAGGACAAGGACAGAGAGGAGGAAGGACTCAGAGGGGAGAGGTGGTCAGCCCCTCTGAGGAGTGGTGGAGTCACCCGGCCAAACTTGGGTGGGGCCCAGGAATGGACAGTGGGGGGCTCCTGGGCAGCTCAAGTCTGAACCGCCTATAGCATGTCACGGCCACACGGCAAGACTCCTAGAGGTGTAGGATGGAGGGGTCCGTTCTGGGGACTGGTAATGTCCCAAGGGCCAGGAGGGAGGTGCTGTGTATCGTGGACAGATTTTGATGCTGTGGCGGGTATTACAAAATGCTCATGGACGGGCACAGTAGCTCAGGCCTTCAGTCCCAGCATCTTGGGAGGCTAAGGAGAGAAGATTGTTTGAGCTTAGGAGTTTGAGACCAGGCTGGGCAACACAGCTAGACCTTGTCTCTCTCTAAAACAAACGAACAAACAAACAAACAAAAAAACATAAAATTAACTGGGTGTCCTGGTGTGCGCCTGTGGTCTTCAGCTACTGGGAAGGCTGAGGTAGGAGGATTGCTTGAGCCCAAGGAGTTGGAGGTTACAGTGAGCTATGACTGTACCAAGTATTTATGGGTAAAATGCATGACACCTTGAATATGTGTTAAAATATTCTGTCAAAAAATGTGGAAGAGTTAGATTAGATGACACAATATTAACATTAATAAAGATTAATAAAATGGTTACAGCTGGATGATAGCTAGGGGGAGTTCATAACACTGTTGTTTCTACTTTTGTGCACACTTTAAAAATAATAAACAACGAAAAACAGAAATGCTAAAAACACCTCACAGCTCCTCGTGTTTCCCCACTCCTCCCCAGCAGCCACGTCTCTGTGTTGGTTTTTTTCCCTGGGAACATCAGAAGGGTTGGGATCTGGGTTGGACCATCTGTGTGTTCCCAGGACATAGTCAGCTGCTCAGTAAATGTGGCTTTGCTAAAAAGTTGAGTGGGTCTCTCAAGAAGGGGGGTCCCTCCAGGCCACCATTACCAAGAGTTCCCCAATTTGAGTCACCTCTGTTCTTATGGTGGGAGCTGTCCAACCAGGCAGGGCTGGGTGGGGCGGGCTCGGGGGCATGGCACCTCCCCTGGGCAGATCTGATCCCAGGAAAACTTCTGTCAGGGCGCCAGTGTGCCTCCTCTCGGCTCTGTCCTCCTGTCCATGAGCTTTCTCCTCTCAGGTTGCTACGCTCTCACTTTTCCTCCCTATTGAAACTTCTCAGGAAAGGACAGGGAAGGTATGACTGAGCCACGCCCCCAGAGGCTTCTGCCTGTCAGTAAGGGACAAGGCCTGTGAGAAGGCGATGGGCTTAAATGGTGGCATCCTAGACTCTGATCAGCCGTCAGAGAAGTTTGGGAAGTGAGGGTGTTCCCGGTCCCTGAAATTATGTCCTATTCACAACCAGACATGCCAGGTACACATGGCGTCCTCCCCGAACGAAGAATCGGGATGGGTGCGCTGAGATGAACGACTGAAGGCAAGAACAACGACGTCACTCCCGAGTTCTCCAGGGATCGTGGGTCGGGAGGGGTACAGACAGAAAGGCCACACTTCATCCCTCAGCACAATACTTCACCTGCTTCCTGCTCCACTGGAGCCCCCAAAGGCTGCAGCCAGAATGAATGCCTGCCTCCCACAGCCCAGCCGTGCCCTCTACTCCCTTCCTGCAGGGCGTGATGGGTGCCCCACTACCAGGCTAGCAGCGGTACCCTCTTAGCTCAAGAGACCTTGAGGATACAACCCCAATCCACAAAGACAATCCCAGGTAAAACGGGGCATCCTCAGCATCCTCAGGGCTTGTCTTCAGTGCTTCCAGCCTGGCCATTCAGTGCCTTCCCCATTCCCAAACCTGGGGACATCATTCCGTCTCCCCCAGCATCCAACTCTACCCTCGGAGACAGTTGGAACTCATGCAGATTCATGTGTAAATGGCAACTAAGGCTTCCTATACGGCTTCTCTCAAAGCTACTTGCATTCCATAAGGGACAAGGCCCTGAGCAGGAGGAAGCTCCCAGTGCTATCACAATCCCCCTATTGGAGGGGTCTTCAAGGTGCTCTAAACCACACCAAGGGTATTCCTCATCTACTGCTGTGCAGCACATTACCACACATCCAGCCACTTAAAGCAGCACCTGTTTATTTCTCATGTCGCTCTGTGAATTTAGTCTGGGCACAGCTCATCTGGGTTATCTGCTCAGGATCTCACCAGGCTGAAACCAAGATAGCACTCAGGGCTGCAATATCATCTAAGGTGTGGGGTCCTCCTTTGAGCTCACTCTTGTTGGCACAGTTCAGCTCCTGTAATCACAGGACTTAGGCCCTCAGTCACCAGAGGTTGCCTGCTGTCCCCTGGCACGTGGCCCTTTTCATAACCGGATAGCTCAGTCCTTCAAGGCCAACAGGACAGTGTCTGTCTGGGGCTTCAGCTTCATTTATAGGGCGGACCTGACTAGCTCAGACCCACCCTGGATGACGTGTCTTTTTATTAACTCAAAAGCAACCAAATGGCAACCTAATCATCAGAGTGATGTCCCATCACATTCGCTCATCCTGCCCATACTCAAGGGAAGGGGATTATAGAGGATGTGTACACTGGTGTGAAGGGGACTTGAGGGCCATCTTAGAATTCTGCCCACGGTATGAACTGGACAGCTGCCCACTTGATCTTTACCAGGTATGACCTCAGGCACCCATAAGAGACACAGACACTTGCCTCTGAGGCGTTCTGTTCCTGCCCCTGCAGAAATACTGTAGCCTGGCTCACTCTCCCTGCTGAACTTGGACACATTTCCTGAGGCCTGGAATAGGGACTTGGCTTTGGCTCAGGCAGGAAAGTCCTCCCCCAGGGGAAATGTAGAGAGGAAGGGGACTGAGCACTAAACTGGCTCCTTTTCTCTCAATCTCTGTCAACCTTACTCAAGCACCACGAGAAACCGACAGATTTCCCATTTCTTTTTTTTTTGAGATGGAGTCCCGCTCTGTCACCCAGGCTAGAGTGCAGTGGCATGATCTCGGCTCACCATAACCTCTGCCTCCTGGGTTCAAGCGATTCTCCTGCCTCAGCCTTCAGAGTAGCTGAGATTACAGGTGTGCACCACCGTGCCTGGCTAACTTTTGTAATTTTTTTTAGTAGACACGGGGTTCTGCCATGCTGGCCAGGCTGGTCTTGAACTCCTGGCGCCTGGGTGATCTGCCCGCCTCGGTGATCCGCCCGCCTTGGCCTCCCAAAGTGCTGGGATTACAGGTGTGAGCCGCTGCACCCGGCCAGATTTCACATTTCTTTCTCATCTGACCTATTTGTACTTCTAGGGAAACCCCAGGCCCAAGAACATTTTTCTGCAGCACGAGATGCTATTGGCAACACAGGGAAGGTATGAAATCCATTGCTCGAGATGCTCCCAAAACGGTGATGGGGTCCGGGCCCTTGGCATGGTGTCATCCTGCTTGAAGGCAGAAGACTAGCTGATATAACCCTAGGAGACTCCGTCTACTACTGGGCGATGTCTATGCTTCACCCAAGCAGGAAAGAAAACCAGATTTTACATTCTTGAATCTGTCCCATCACATCCTCCACTAGACATCAAGCCCCATGAGGGCAGATTTTGCCCTCTATGGTCACTGCTGTCTCCTCCAACGCTTGGACAGTGCCCAGCACATAGTAGGTCTTCAATGAGTATGTATTGGACAAATTAATTCCAAAGTTATATTTGTGACTCTCAAAAACCTTCCTAATCTGACCCACAGCAGATGCTCTCCCCCTCCTGCCTCCTTTGTGTGTTCAGTTCACCCCACAGGTGCTCTTTTTACTCCTATTTCCTTCTTTCTATCTGCAGCTTTGCACCTGGCCACAGATCTTCCCAGATCTCCCCAGGCTACAACGTAACTCTGCTGACTCCACTGCCCCTGGGGCACTAGCCCGTTCCCTTTATTCCTATTTTCCACTGAACCTCTAGGAACAGTAGCCTCTGCCTCACTCCAGGAGCAAATGCCAGATACTGACCCAGCCCTGCCCTGAGCCCTGTGCTCTGGCTCCTGCTGCCTCCCGTCTCTCAAGGGCGAGAGATGTTAAACTCATCCAAGGCCCATCAGCAGGGAAGAGGCAGATCTGGGGCTTGTCACTCAGCCCAGGGTCCTCCTCAGCCTCCCTCCCCGCTCCTTTCTGCATCTCTCCCCAGTGCTTATTACTCAGTCTATCCTGGTTGTCCTGTCTCCCTACAACCCCTTAATCCTGTATTCTGGCCACAAAACCCCTACGTGCACTGGTTACGAGTCACATGGGTGCCGCTGCCAGTCTCCACACGTTTTAATTTTCCTCGTACACTCTGGACGTCGTCCATAGCTTCTGTGTTGGACATCATCAGAGGAGCCCGTGACAGGTGATAATTAACAATGAATTAAGAGGAGAGCTGTGTCAGGCAGAGCCTTCCGGGTCACTCTAAACAGGCTCCCCAGGTTGACACCTTCTCAGCCCTGTCTGCCTTCCCTCTGAGGACCCAGTGCATTCTCTTAACTTCACTCTACTTTGATGGGCTGGTGAGCCAAGTGGCAAATACGGGGAATGGCCAGCCCCAGATCCCTGCTGATTGGCCTTGGATGAATTTAACATCTTTGACTTTCAGTTTTCATATCTATTAAGTAGGGCTTATCTTGCTGACCCTGTATCTTCTCGTGAGGATTAAATTATTTCATGTAGCACCCAGCACAGAGCAGGAGCTTACTAAGTGGTAACTGCTTCATGGTGACAGTGATAATGATGGGAACGACTCTCAAGTCTCCATTCCTAGCCTTGATCCTAGACCCACATTTCCAACAGCTTGTGGATCCTCTGTCCATCTAGACTGTTTTCCCTACCTCACCCAAACCAGCTCTTGTTGACTTCCTTATTGGCCTGACCAGCACCCAGCCTGGGAAACTCGCCTCGTCCTGGGGTTTTTGTTTGTCCTGTCCACTATGTTTGTCAGCCGACTGTAGCTCCTGGGCCCCCCACCCCTAG